ACAGGCCGCGCTGTGCGGTCCCGGTCCGTCGGTTCCCCCGTCCCGCCCGGTCTCTCTGTCTGCGCCTCTCGGGGCGGCTCCGGCTCCCTGGTCCCTCCCGCGGGCGGCAGAAGCAGCGGTGGAATCTGGCGAGGAACCCGCCCAGAAGCCTCACCTCGAGAAACGCGCCTGAAATCTGGTGTGAGAGTCACAAATCCTGAAAACCAGCGTTGCCTTCCAAGCACCGCGGCGTTGTGCTCGCTGTGCTGGTGTTTTGTCTGGGGTTTTGCTCAGGTGGCGAGGGCCGTTGGTCAGTGTATTCCGCAGTCCGTTACATGAGCTCGGTTTTGTGATCAATCAGCATCTTAGTCTTACTGACCAAAAAGCGCCTGAAATCTGGTGTGAGAGTCACAAATCCTGAAAACCAGCGTTGCCTTCCAAGCACCGCGGCGTTGTGCTCGCTGTGCTGGTGTTTTGTCTGGGGTTTTGCTCAGGTGGCGAGGGCCGTTGGTCAGTGTATTCCGCAGTCCGTTACATGAGCTCGGTTTTGTGATCAATCAGCATCTTAGTCTTACTGACCAAAAATCTAAAGAAATTATTTGAACTGCTCAGATAAAAAAAAAAAAAATTAAAGTAAAATTATTTCTACAATCTGAGACGCTAATTCTCTTTTAGTCCAAGTGGTGTAAACATGTAGGGAAGTGTGGTCCAGAGCCTTGTTCGGCTTTGTCCGCTGCGGTGGCCTTCCGTCTCATTCAACGATCTTCGCTGGATCCTGTCACCAGATTGCACCACTTTGTTCAGAAAGCTCAAATCCATCCTTTTGAAGTGAAGACGTTCCAAAACACAACAAAAATGTATCCCTCCTTAGGGTAAAATATCTGTTCCCATTTTTAGATTCCATCCTAAATTAACTGAAAGTGCTTAGCTGCTGGTACTTTCATATTTTTCTTTACTTTGCAAGTTCAGTAGATGAAGAATGTGCAAGTAGTGCCTGAGCTGCCAGCATCCCACAGCAGCTCTGGATGTGTTTATTGCAATGGAAACCTTACTGGGATGAGCACTCAAGGTGCATCAGAAGCAGTTTACAAATCTGCAATGCCAGATCTGTAAAATGTATCTAAATATTCCATGCTGGTGGTGGGTTTCTTGGTCCTTTAGGTTTTGAAAATCGATTTGCAAAGCCTAGGAAGAAGTTATTTTTTTTTACTGCAACAAAATCTGTATGTTAATTATGTAATTCCTTAAGATAACACAGTGTTTGAAAATACTTCTAATGTCAGTTCTTTCGCAAACTTTAAGATGTAGTAGGCTTAAAGCAGCACCCTGTAGTTGTAACTCAGCTGGTGCAAAAACAGTCTGCCAATGTGTCTATCAACAAATACTGTCATTATAGCAAGAATATCAAGATAACTAGATTTTCTGCATAATCTAATAAATGACTGCCTCTAGCAGAAGAATGGAACCTCTGCTGTATTACACAACATAAGGCAGCAGCCTAATGGCAATGCGACAGCAGCTTTGTTTTTGTCTTCTGCTGTCTCTGTTGCCACATAAAGGCTTTCAGATACAGGAAAGCCAAATACACGCTTCAGACTCTTCACAAACCGAGAAACGTGTGTCAGAGTGGGTTTCAGGGTTTGTGTTTTCCATCCTTACCTGTTCTTCGAGCAGTTCCTGAATAAAGTTCTAGATATGTAAAAAATAATAAGCATTATTTGTAATGTTTGTAATTTGTTAGGTTCAGCCTGGTGCCTCCATTTAGACTTTCAAAAAACGGGTACTTCTTACACCAAAACACAAAGAGAAAAACTTACCAAAGTTAAGGAAAGACCTCGAATGGTTTGATGGGGCAGCTTCTGGTGGTTTTGTCAGTGACGATGGACTACAGATGCCTAGAAAAAAATGAAGACTGAAGCAGTTAGTCACTGTGGTAATTCCCGGAGGAGCTGGACTCGGACACACCTGTGGGAAAACACGTACTGCCGCGTGCGCCACGGGTGCTGTTTCAGCACAAGACAAAGTTAAGTACTTTCCACTCGAGCAGGGTGTGAATAGCACACGGTTTTAACAACATTATTTGCTCGTAGCAGGGAGTGAGTGTACTGCTGCAGCATAAGCCGCTGGGAAAATATTTGCTCAGAAGTGCTTTAAACAGTTTTTAGCAGTCCTGTTTTCAAGATAAGCATTTTACTTTTAGATCAAAGGGAACAGAATGAGAAACTCCTTATTTGTGCTCCAAATAGACTGGGCAGAATCCACGATGGGGCCCACGTTCCTCACAGAATTCCTGTCCCCCATTTTTAGAGTATTTGTCCCAAACACTGGTTTGAATGACTTGAAGAAATTGTTAATTTGGGTACACTGGAGCTGTATGCAAGGTACCCAAAGGACATGACAAGAGCACCACAGGATCCGTGTGATACTTCTAAAACAACTATTGCTACCCCGGGGAGATGGAACTCATCTAGCCAGCGCAGCTCGGTACGTCCTGCTCCAAAGCAGGCAGACGTGCAGAGCGTTTCACAGCTGACAAGGTCAGGTTCCTGAAAATTCAGGCCCACATATTTCTTTATATACTCGCTTAAAGCCATCAGGAAGATGCACGTTAGCCTGAAAGACTTACTTTTTTTCACATTTTTCAATATTTTCAAGCTCTGTAAAAAAAAAAAGAAGGCGGCTTGTTGAAAAAAAATGCAGCAAGCAGTAGATCAGCTACTACGATAAAGGGAATTCACTAGTAAAAATACATGTATCACATGTTGTAAAAAGTATTGTGCCTACCAGCTGAGACTGAAATGCAGACCACTGCCATTGGCTTTGTCTCTGACTTTTTTCTAGCCAACCCGAAAGCATCCTGTTTATATTACTATTGCTGTTTTCCTCATATGCTTTTCTGCTCAACTATAACATCCTGAAGTACACTTGCTCATGAGGATAATTAACCAGGGCCACCACAAGATGAGGAAATGTGATGAGCAGTCTGTCCTACACGGGAACTCAGGCTCCACTCAAGCAACTTTTTCTGAGAGGAGCTGGCACGTCAGGAGGACGGGGTGCTGAGACATAACCATTCACACGGGTATGGCTGTGTCGCTCTGTTCCTAGTGCAGACAGTGGTTTTGTTTGCAGTTCTACAACAGAATATTTTTGTCAGTCTCATTTCCTTGCCCTAAATACGAGTGATCTCAAAGCAGGCAATTTTCACAATGTTACCAGTGAGAAAGTACCAATAGCTGTAGCTAAAACGGTCTCCTCACGCCCTCCGTTTTCAGTAGCTTTTGTTTTGTCTTGTTTCTTTTACCTTGCTTCTCCTGAAGCATTTCGTAGGCTCTTTTGATGATATTTCAGAAGCATTGTCCTCCAAGCCCAAAGGACTCATCATAGAATTTATTGCAGCAGGCTGCAAACCTGGGAACATACATCAAAACATTTTCAGTGGTCATTCAAGAATTCTCCTGCTTTTTTTCCCAAGTTCTTTGCTGTTGCTTTTCATTTCCTCCAGTGTAGCAGTTCTAGAAATTTCCAGCAAGTCCCCTAGTTGTGTTGACTTTATGTCTGCTGAACTCTCCTGCAGTGAAGTCCTGAAGCACTAGCGTTGGTAATGCTTTGAGCAAGTGGGCCACGATCTCCTCAGCTATCTAAAGGTTTAGGTGCAAGTATGAAATCTCAGTTACACGATGAGAAAATAACTCATCACTTACTTGCTGCATCAGCAAGAACAAATGACTCTGGGGTTCTTTCAAGGAAGGGGGGAGGAGAGTTAGAGCGATATTGGGTTGTCTCTAAGAAAGCAAAGATAAAAGAGTTGGTTATCTAGCTTAAAAAGTAAAAATATATATATATATATAAACATATATTTCTCTCTATATATATCTCTATCTCAGTTCACTGAGAGGTCCACAGCACTCTAACTGGCATATGTCAGTTGTCTCAGAGGAAACACACAACATGCAGCAAAATATGCGAGAACCCTTAGCCTGAGGAGGCTGCGGGGAACGTCATCACGTACAGGGTGAGGCAGGAGCTGACTAGGAAGTATAAAACTACCAGTTCATTTGGTTGCAGAACTGTCCAGTTCTGTTTAGAACTATTTAGTTGCAGAACTATTTAGCAACACAAAGTTTCCATTGGACTGAGCACAGATCCTAAAGACATTTACTAAATATGGTAAAGCAGCTTCAGTAAAAAGCAGACCTTATTTCCAAAGATAGTTTGTCCCAGCATTAAACTTATACCTGTTTGTGGGTTCTGAAGCTTCACGCTCTGCAAACAAAAAACAAGGAAGGCATTTGAAATTCCAACAACCAAATGTCATTCTCTTGCACATAAGCAAGCTGGAGGAGATGAGGCAATGCCGTTACGTGCAAACACCCTCCCCCACACACCTCCGTGCTCATGTAATGGAAGATAGGCTTACGCCTTACTGTTTCACTTTACAAAGCTGTAATTCAACTGTGGGATGATCAAGAGATGCCTAAATTTTGTTCAGCTCCTGTCTGTTCCACAGGGCGGTGTGAACCTCAGCGGACCGCTAACTCTCTGTCTTCATTATCCTTCTCTAAAAGAGGGACAACATTTTTACCAGCTTGTGTGGGATTTAGGACCCCAGAAAATAATGTTTGGAGTCAAGTAGATGTTCATAAGGAGGAGCCTGACTGAGACCACATCTTCCTCCTAGTCCTGAACCCTGAAATAATTTATGGAAAGTACACAGTGCCAAAACTAGGGTCTTTCTCACAGAAGGAAGCATGATAAGGAAATTGGCATGGTGATAGTGCTGGAGAAGAGATAAAAGGCTGCTTACTTACCTTACACGGTCTCAGTCTCACCGAGTCATTAAACACCTCTGAGCGAGACTCACCACTCCACTCGAAAAAGGTTCCAATATTTCTGGCTGAAAGCTGAAAATCAGAAGTGGCCAGAGGAAATTGTCCTAGAAACAATTGAACACGAGAGAGGTCATTTCTCATCCCAGGCAGGCAGAGCGAAGGCACTGCCGGATGCCACGATACCGCACAAACATGGGAAGAGCCCTCAGAGCACTTTTCAGCCTCTGCTTTGCTAATGCACTTACCAGATTCACTGGCCACAATAAAGGACTCGGGGGTTCGCTCGGGCAGGGGCGGAGGCTCATCGTCATCTGGCTGTGGCAGGGCAGCTAATTGGGGAGACGTGGACAGATTACACATGGCACAACACAGCAGGAGAACTACAGATCTTTGTAGAGACTCTGAGAGCTGACTTCTCTTGCCCAGCCGTGCACCAGAAATGATGGTTAAACACCTCTAAACTGTAGTTAAAAATCAAAATAGTCCTCAGCACTAATTTACCTGCCGCTAGCTACGTGGCCCCAAGGGCCATCTTCCAGCAGTGTCGGCAGCAGATGCATGGGGGAAGGTGACCAGCGGTACCATTGCTGCTTGGCTTGTGCTGCAACTCCCATAACTTTCCCAGAGTGTCTAGCATCTAGACAACGAGCACACTTTTGTGACACTGAATGCTGAACGGCCTGAGCAGGACAAAGCTGAGCAAATTCCAAAGCTGCAAACAATGGGAAATGTCCGACTGGGCCAGGACTAACTAGACCGAGGACTAATTCTACCTTCTTCATATGATGGGTGATGGTTTTAAGGCTACAGATCTGGGCAAAACACTGATGTTGAAGTCCTGGTTCGCTCAGTCTCAGTGGGATGTGGCATCCCCCTGCACGACACTCTGTAGAAAGAAGCATTGTTTGACCCAGTAACTAGATCCTCAGAGAGAAAACCATTTGTGGAGGTTTCTGAATGCTGCTTGGAGCACCCTGTTTTAAGAACTGGTCAGCACCAATCCCTGCCTCCCTACGAGAGCGGTACTGAGGTGACACCGTAGTCCAGAGCAGCTGTGTGATGTGAAACGCAAAATCATGCTGTTCTAAAAATGTTGTTTATGGGAAAATTTTAAGGCAGGATGAAATGAGTGCGAGGATGAAACCGTTTGCTCCCTCAGCTCCTGTGGGACCCAGTCCCAAGGGGTGGCTGCAGCCCTGCCTGGACATCGACAGCCCCCGCTCATCGTCGTGCCACACCACTTACCCGGGGGAGAGGAAACCCCCTCGTTGCTCGGCGGGGCCGTGTGCCCGGACGCAGGCCTGGAGGGTGGGCAGCTGGTGGCAGCAGGCTCTGGGGGGGCACTTGCATCCTGCCCCTCTGCGAAGCACTCGGTGAGCACAGGGGACGAGGGCTCATATGGAGAGAGGCAGAAGAAGTAGGGGTCTTCTGCTGAGCAGAAGTAAGGGTATGGACAGTGCCCATGGTTCCTGCAGCTTGGGGGGCCATCCGCATCTCGGCTCGAATGGTTCGGCTCAGCAGGGGAAAGTCTGTCCTGCTTCTTCCCCTGAAAGCCTGAGTAACTGGCGTTTGGCAACTGTGAACTCAGAACAGGCGTGGCGTCCGCACCGTCCCATTCCCAGCCTTCTCCCCACCGTGCCAGCACGAAAGGGGTCGATGCAGTCCGTGTCAGCGGTGCTCTGCCATGAGGCCATCTCCTGCCTGCTGCCTTCGGCTCTGGGCTCAGAAGCAGCTGCTCGGGAGAGATGCTGCTGAGCTCCAGGCTGCGGTGTTTCTGGAGAGCGTCCCCAGCGTCCCGCTTCCCAGCGCCAGCTGCCTTCCTGCAGCTGATGACGTTCAAAGTGCCGAAGGAGACGGCCTGTCTGACGGGAGGGACCCCACATCCAGAGCTGTCGTGTGCTTCCACGGCAGACACCCGTGTCAGGGGTGCTTTGCTTTGTAGCACCGGAGGAAGACATCGGTGCACGTCCTGTTCCTCTTGCTCTGAGCTGCAATAAAGCACCATCATGTGAAGTCAAAGCCACCTAGTACTCAGAAATCACTGTTAGCCTGCTAACAAGGCCTCACAACGTTGCTCCTCAGAGAAGATCCATCCCTCAGGAGCACAGAGCCTGGTTCAGGCTCAAGCAAGGAGCACAGGGAAGCCCTGGGCACCCCGATGCCCCATTTAAGCACCATTAAATGGTGAACAGAGGAGGCCCCTTTACGCGGGTAAACTACACCCTCAGTGCAGACTATACCAAAAAGCAAAATTATCTGCAGAAAGCAGACACTGCGAACCAAAATATGCCCACAGAAAGCTCCTGCTGCCTTCTGAAGCTGTCCGTGTTGGGAAGCTAGACTCCTCGGGCTTGCTGTTCCCACAGCAAGGCACGGGAGTGGCACTTGCGGATGAGGGATGGGACCAGTTGCGAACACCCTGCGGGATGCACAGCTCCAGGCAGGGCACAGAGATGAACCAGCACCAGGGTGTCTCTGCATGCATGAGCCTTTTTTTATACTGCCCTTGGTGTGTTTCCAGCTCGCATGTGAAACACCATACAAGCACAGCATGAAACAGACCCAAAGGCAGGAGAGGGGGACAGAGAATGGCATGCAGGGGAGAGGCTGAGACTCAGTCTCAGAGACACATCAGCAAGAAGAGCAGGAATTACATTAGGAACAAAGGTGAGAGTCAAAGTGGGGCTCAAGGGAGGCTGCAGATCCTGCCAACAGATGAAATGCAATGTTCAAACAGAACTGCGTCACAAAGCACATAGTAAAAAATGTGTCTTCTTGACATCGTATGGGTGACAAAGTACTAACCCAGGTGATACTTGTGCTATGGCCTTACCAAGTTAATAATCTCCAAGAATAAATATCTTCCTCTGAAGTCAGAAGTGGCCTGGCTACAGGGTGCCTTGTTTGTACCTAGTGAGAGAAAAGGTTAGAGAACAAGAGTGAGGAGGAAGAATGCAGAGAACACAAACACGCCATTTCAGGAGTTGGAATTTGTGCCAACTACTTTTAATCATTAATGCAGTTCATAAATGACAAACACCCAACTTGAAAACACCAAGTTGAAGCTGAAAACTGAGGACAGAACCTCCTGAACAGCAACTCCTGTCAGGCCCTTTGTGAAACGAGAGTGCAGCGAGCCGTACAGCCATCCAGCTGTTCCAAACACCTGCAGAGCAGCCTGCGCAGCCGCCTCTGCCCTCAGGACCCCCTGCAGGCACTCAGCCGGGCAAGGCAGATGCTGGTTTCACTTGTGCCACTGCAGCACAGGACCATCCCCCATGCTCTGCAAAGTGATTTCCGAGGACACTGAGGTTTAGGCGGGCAAAAGGTTTGGCCAGGAGCTACAAAACCACATCCGGACTTGAACCGTTTTCTGCATTTTTTTGTCAACCTAGTTTTGCATCTCCTTTGCTTCAGACTGTCCACAGCACGTAGAAAGAGGCTCTTTCCAGCTCTTTTCTCACTCAGCTCTGGCTTGGAACATCCTGCAAATCCTATGGCAAAACTGAGGAATGGGTCCCATCGCAGGACCCTGCTCCCAATTCTTTAGACAAAAGCTTCTGACAAAATAAGCTGACTGCAACCTTTCAGCCTTTGCCTAGAAGTGGCGATGCATTGACTTCAGCCAGATTGCAAACAGCTATACAGGAAAGGTAAAATTCATGCCAGCAGTCACAGAAGAACAGCAAGAGCAAAGAAAAGCTTGACCACGGATGTTTTGGATGTTCCTGTTTATGCAACTTCATACCAAGATCACATTGTTTTTCCTCAGAGGTGTATCAGATTTGAAAGACTTTGACAGGTTTTTTCACAAGACATTTTAGCCTACTTTCTCCCACAGACGGGCTGTAATGCTAATTACCTCACTAGAGCACCACCATGTTGCAGACTAACACTTTTAGCTGCACTGCCCTGTGCGCCCAAGCTTCCCAGCCTGGGCTGGAAGTCACTCTGTTACTTGCAAGCACTCCACAAAGACAAGTTTCACTGGCACGTCCACGTAGAAATCAGCTGCTACTGTAGAAAGCTGGTGCTCTTCTATTCGCTCATTACATTAAACAATTATAGAAGTGTATGGAAAATGGTTTGGAGACCAAAGAAAATTTAGCTCTTGCTTGGGGCCACATCCTGTGATAAGCGTTCAGGGAAGCAGCTGGATTCTTATGGGTTAACTTGAAAAGAGGCCCAGTTTGGCCGTCAAGGGTAGCAGAATACATGGAGATTCATTCCAGGTCTGCAGAGGAGACCTCTGCAGTAGGAGTCTAGGTTAGAGCCGACATGCCCGGGGCTGCAAGAGGCAGTGCGTTTATCCTGGGGACTTTTACCTGTGAAGCAGCAGAATCTTCCTGGGCATCGAGTGCTTGAATCTGCCTTTTGAAGAGCTCGATCACTGCATCATAAACCAGCTCATACTGCTCCTGCGTTCCAGGCAAATAACACAGACATGAGAGCCAGCACCCGCAGTACTTGTAAATGGTCACTTGTTACACAAATCAAGCATCAGCCCCCAAGAGAATCTGCCACCTTCCAGTCCAGTGGCAGGGTAAATTCTCAGAAGAGAAAAAAGCCACAACTTTCAAAGGCTTCAGACTGAAGCATTTGGGGGTTTTTTCAGGTACATAAACAATGCTGTTCTGCATTGAGCTTCCTCTTCAGTCTATCTCAGCTGAGGAGGGTTCCCACTTTATTTCCTGGGCAGTCCCTTGTTACACAGCATCAGCGTTCAATAAATTAGACTGCAAGCGCTAAGCTATTCCAGCTGTCTGCAAGGAAATGGTCAGCAACCAAATTAATTTCTGCAAAATCATTCTTCTATTCAGAAAAGGGACCCTACAGGACATCTACATCCCGCTGTTCCCAGCAGCACAACCGCTCTGTGTTTCCTTACTGTGAACACTCCTGGGGAAAAGCTGAGGTCCTGGTCTGGTCCCGAACGTACCTTGGTCTGCACTATGGAAGGCCTTTGCGTGCGCATCTCCTGGATCAGACTAAAAATACTGAAGTTCACTGGAACAATCTTGCAAGAAAGAGAAGAGACAAAAAGTTACAGACAGATCTGATTCCAAGCAGCTTCCAAGTCGTGACACAGTTTAGAGCAGTGTCCAAAATTCAGGCCTGCTATTGCAAGAATTTTTTAACAAAGGACCTGCTTAGCTATTTTTTTATGAACCAGCTTGCCTCCTCCCTCCTGTCTTGCACACCACGGAAAATACCCTTTCTGTAAGAGCACTGCTGACAGCTGTGACTAGCACGAAGGACAGACGCTGGTTTCCCAGATCGATGGGCTCAGGGTCGCTGCGGTACCGAAAGCAGCCACTCCTCCGCGTCGCAGCAACCCGCCGCGAGGCCAGGGGTTACTTCACATGTATTTTTATTGAAGAGTCGGAGTTAAGCAAGGTGTTAGTTTGGAGAAGCTGCATTTCTGATGCTTGTGTGGAGAGACAAATGCAGACAGTAAACTCGTACTGAAGACTGCAGGCCAGCGCCCAGCTCGGCGATTTGAAGGTCCTGCCAGAGGGAGCGACGGGAGGGAGGACTGACCCCGTCGGGACAAGCGTGGGGGCTGTTCGCAGCAGGGCAGGAGGGGAGCAATGGCAGAAGGCAGCGTGTGGGTGGCACAGAGCCTAGCGAGAGAGAAGCAGCACAGACTGGGAGCGGGGTGTCAGCGGCTCGGCTGCCGCCATTCCCCATCGGGCTGC